TCGGTTCCTTCTGTTTAACGTTTAGAGCGTCTAACTCCTTGAACTCCTCAAGAATGAAGATTCTGAACTTGGCAAAAGCTGTGGTACCAGGTGATGGGTTTTTATAAAATTATTTGTTAGTTACTTTAAGTGACAAACCCTTGTACAGACTGAACGAACAAGGAGTCCGGCGCACGGTTTTCGAGAGAGAGTTAAAATGGAAAGCTCTGAAGCCAATGGGCTCGTAAATCTACACATGTTTTACGAAGAGATTATTTCGTAGAAAGCTCAGTGACGTGCTTTGTATACTGTGCATTCTGCATGTATGCTATTGCTTGGTCATCTGAGCGGGCTACTAAAAGTACTCATCCAATCTTAAGCAGTCGATGACCTACAAGGCAAGCGTGTGTCCAGTTGTCGCAAATGGAAGTGTTTAAAGTGCCTATGACATCAACACGATGTTCACTTCAAATAAAAACATAGTATCTCTATTATACATCTACCGAAAACAAAGTTGGCCTTTTTCGATCAAATAGTGGTCGGAGACTGGGATCGAGTTTCTTTGTCGGTATGACGTCATCTTGTGTACGCAAGAGTTTTGAAGCCACCCGTTGCAGCATAGTGACGACCAGAGAAAACAGCTCACAAAATTTTCCACCTTTTACCTTCCTTCTCTTACTCTGTGTTGTGTTATCCGCCATGATGGTTTGAATTCTAGCAAGCTGTGGTACACAAGATGACGTCACGAGGCCTGTTTTGGCCGCGCGATTTGATACCACTTTTTACTTAGAAAATTGTCAAATTCAGAGAGCTATAAATTCTTCAATTTTTATGATTTGGGGATGAAATTAATTCTTATTGCTTTTTAAGACTTGTAGTTTTTATTTAAGTTAAAATACCGTTGGTGTCATAGGCACTTTAAAGTCTTTGTAGAGTGTTTATCTATTGATTTCATAAATGTCAAAGTTCCCTGCCAGAGATTAGTTATTAAGATCATGGTTCAGGTTTTCTGGCAACTCGCCAATCAAATATCTGATACCACAAAATTTTCTGAGGAGCACGCTCCCCTCCATACTGCTTGCGGTGTTCAACAAAGCCAATTTTGCGTCATTTTTCAACAATCCTCGTTAATTTGGCAAATAAACGACTGAACTATTGGAGAGCCTGCGTATTAGACCTGGCCCCCACAGTTTACTTACCACTGACCTTCGTTTCCGCAGTTGTGGCAGTGTGGTAGTAGATTTCATTTTGAAGTTCAGGAAAGCCGTAGACGCTGCCCGTGTAGTAACTATACTGAAAGAGGCAGCTGAGCAAGACCGCCTTAATGGATTGAAAGTCTACCCTGATTCCATAAGTCAAAGTTCTTCCACAACCACGTTATCAGTCAATACAGTGAGGCGATATTTAGAAGGTAAAATAAAAGATTTACTAAGTGACGTCAAAGAGCGTTTCCTTCAGATTATGAAAGGCGTTTGATTGAACAACATTGAAGCCCTTGACTGACGTATGTGTCTGCCATTTAGATTTATCTAACACAATTCTCTGATAGACTCCTTTCTTAACCTCTTGCACATCTCAAGATGGCAAATAACTTTGAAATCTAAAGAGAAAAGAGCAGCTCAAACCATGGAATCGACAACCAAAAAAAAAAAAGTTTCTCATACCTATCTCTTTACCTTATACTTGTCAGTTGTTTTAGACTTAAAACAGCTTGTGTGATCATATGTGTTTAGGTATGTCGCTTACGTTGATAAGTAAATGTACTTCTCTTGTCCTTTAGAACGATGCCATAAGTCATTTTGGATAAAGGAAAACTGTGAAAGTAAGGTTCTAAGTAACTCTACATTCTCTTGATAATTAGCGTGGCTAGCTATGATTTTCGTCTTTGGGCTTTAA